TGGTCAGAACGTTCCGTGCTTGGCTTCTGTGTGTGGCAGGTTGTATAGACACACCCAGGCCACACTCAAGAGCCCTGCACATCCAGACTGTTGTAGAGTCAAGAAAGCACTTGGTCAGCTATGACTGAGGAAGTAACAGCTCAGAATGACAGATGTTCAAGCTGGGTCTGACCTGAAAGTCCTTTTCCTGCAGTCTAGCTTCCGTGGCTCCAGAAAACGCTGTGCAAACTGCCAATAGAGGGAAACAACTGACCAGGCCTGGCCGTCTGCAACACTTACGAGCCGTGCAACCACCAACATAATGGTGAGGGGCGTGGCACTCGCCTACCTGTGGCAACCAGCAGCTGTCTAACTGGACTTGCGGCCCTAACAGGAGTGAAGGCAAGCCTGGCGCTGGAAACCTAGCCAGCTTCCAAGGGGCACTGAGGTCATCGACCTTAGAAAAGTACCACTGCCGCTGCGCTAGGCCAGCACAGTTCCTTCCTACACTCTGAACCTCATCCTCACACCCACACAAGTGTAACTACCACCCGTCACCAAAGAAGCCTCTCTTTACAACAAATAGACCAGCAAAGAAAACCACAGTTGGCCCCAACACAGAGATCAACACCCAAGCAGCTCCTGCATCTCTGACTCAGAGAACATCTTCAAAAAGATTAGATTAGAAAGATTGCAAGAGTCAAAATACCAGGAAGTATGCTGCGGAAGTGTCTCCTAGAAGTGGCTGCATAAGCAGGACAGGAGCAGCAGCGAGAGCAGCGGATGAGTTAACACACAGCAGGAACTCTCACGGTGTCCCACCCCGCACAAAACCTGTAGGCGGCTGCTGACCTCTGCAGAAAGAGTGAGCTTCTCCCGTGGAAAAGCCCCCATACTGGCTGTCCAAAGCACAGTGGTGACCCTTGAAATCATAGACACACAAATAACAAAAGAGCTTCGGCAGCTGTATGTATGTATGTATGTATATATGTATATATATATGTATATGTATATATATATGTATATGTATATATATACACTTGAAGAAAAAGAGGCTACCAACCCGAGGGGTCATAAGAGGGTTTTGGGGGAGGGAGTTGGGAGGGCTTGGAGGAGAAAAAAGAAGTAATGTAATTTTACTTCAACTAAAAGAGTTTGAAAATGATGCTAGAAGACATATAAAAGAAAGTCTTAATATCTTTACAATTAACTCAAAATAGTTTGATGGCTTAAATAAAAGATCTAAAACTATTAAAAAATTTTTAAAAATTAAAAATGCTAATGTTGACATATTTGACAATGATTTTTTTGGCTCTGATATCAGAAGCATAAGCAATAAATGAAAATAAACTTAACTGCATAAAACACATGAAACTTCTGTGTCTCAAAAGATGTAATTAATCAAATGAAATCAAATTAATCAAATACCATATGAATACATACCATTGCCAAATACATATGCGATAAAGTATTAATATTCAGAATATACAAAAAAACTCTTAAAGTGTAATAACAAAAAAGAACCCAATTATTAAGATATTCTATTAAGTCTGATAATTTAATGCACTGTGCTTTGACCATATTCACTCCTTCCTTCAGCTTCTCCCAGATCGGTTCTTCCTTCCCTATCTGCCCAACTTCATGGTTCTCCTTTCCCTCTGACCACATCACTTGAAGAGAGAGTGGCAGCGGCTGGCCCACTGTGGGGCGGTCGAGGCTTCCCTCTCTGCTGACCTGTGGCGTAGGCTGCCAGTTTTCCTGCAGCTATCCTAAAGTAGCATGACTATTGTTCCAAAATGCATGTCTTCCTGCACCGCCCCTGCCGGCGCTCTCTAAGACAGCGAGCCTTTCTCAGGGCAGTCTTCGAGTATTTCTGCCTTAAACATCACTTTTTTTCTTCATGTCCAAGTCTGGGATACGTGAGCCCCGAAGAACGTTCACAAAACTCCATATTGGTTCAGACAGCTGTGGCCGCTAGTTGCCTTTTCTGTTTCTGATGCCCAGACAAGTTCCCCGAACCATGAAATGCTATACTTGGCACACACTCATTAACATCATCAGGCAGTAAAGTTTTAGTACCATATCAGCTCATCAGCCTGGACATTTGTGAGTCCCAAAGCAAATTTTTTATTCGCCTGTGTGGTTGGATAAGTCATGGACCCTAAGGGAGAACATCTAAAATTATCTCATTAATGAAACAGTGTTAACCAACTCCCCGAGACTTATCAGTGGACCAGCGGGTGTCTTAACCGTCCTCAGAGAAGTTTCTTTTAGTAGTAGGTGACCGCACCGCACTAACCTATACAACAGGGTGCTCAGCTCTAAGGGGACATCTGCACCGCGTTTCTTCCCCAGGCATCGTTGGCTCAGGAAAGGAGGTGTTTTCTGGGCACGACAGGGTAGTCGCTCACAGAAGTTGTGACAGCTTGTGCAAGATCATGCAGATGAGATCATGCCCATCGAGGTCGAGGTGTTGTGCAGTCCCTGCCTGTAGCGAGGGAGCCACTGGGAAAGGGAGAGCTGTCTCCGCAAGGATTCGGCCCGAGGCCAGGCGCGGACCATGGAGACCTGAATAAACGGCAGGGTGGTGGAGACAGGAATGGAGTGCAGGGAGAGAGCTTTGATCTGATCGGACACTGTATGCATGTGTGAGACTGTCAAACGATTTAAAAATCATGTCTAGCCTGAGGGAAGCCTCGCTTACTCTTCCCAGATGCCCAGGGAATCTTTTTTGGGTTCAGAGTCTGCTCTTTACAAGTTGGCCACTTTCTTTGCTTTGAAAATCTCTTCACTGGGCTCCAAACTCAGGAATGAAACTTGACACTAAGAGAACCTTATTACTTAATTCTTAAAACCCTAAATTCTCTGGCCTTCTTATAGATCCCCATCAGGCTGGAATGTAAAGGACATGTCAAATTATTATAATCTAATTTGTAATACATAAAACTGTGCTTCCTGGAGCACGAGAGAGACAGACAGAGAGAGAGAGAGAGAGAGAGAGAGAGAGAGAGAATGTATGTATTTGTAAGCCAGAGCTTTACATTAGATGTCTTACTTTCCACATCATCACCATCACTACCACCGTCATCATCATCATTGAGATAGCATCTTTCACCGGAACTGGAACTCACTTGTTGATAGACAGATCTCCAGCAAGATCTGGAGATCGGCTTGTCTCCACTCCCCTCACCCAGCTCTGGGGTCACAGTCTCACATTGGCACACCTGGCATTTAAGTGGGCATTAGAGTTCTGAACTCAGGTCCTCAGGCTTGTACAACGAACACTTTATCTATCGCATGAGTCCATTTCCCGAACTCACAATGTGTGTGCCTGCCCATGGTCTTGCCACCTGATAGAGGCAAGCTTCTGTTCTGCATGAGCTGGCCGTGTTGTGTTTTTATTTTCTGAGTCCAGATTGGCAGGCTGGAGGATTACACTGGAGCTGTGTGTGGGGCTGATTGTATCTTTAAGGTCCTGTTTTTTATCGGAGGGGTGGAGGGGAAGGAAGGGGAGAGAGGAAGAGAGAGGAGAGGAGGAGGTAGGGAGGAAGAGAGAGAGGAAGGAGACTGAGTAAGCAAGAGTGGAAGGGAGAGAAGTTCAGACACTTTTCCAGGCAGGAACAACTCGCTGACATTTCCATTTGCCCTCCCTGGCAGCAGAAAGATACACAAATATGAAGAAATGTCAGTTTAGATAAAGCCTTGGGAATCTATTCTTGGGAGCAGTGCTTGGCCAGACACTATTTCAAAATGGCTTCAGCTTTCTTGGTGATCTCTACACACCATCAATGCCCAGAGTTGAAATCAGAGCCTTTGTGCTTGCACAATGCAGAAAGTCCATTACTTTCTGCAGACTGAGAAGGCGAAGCAATAGTACAGGTGAGTTTTATTAAGACTGCAGAGGGAGCTGTAGGCTGTACCATCGGGGGAATCAGGTCTGGGCTCATCTCTAAATCCTGGCAACCACCCACCCAGGTGTGTGCGTAGCTGGTGCCCTAGTTTCTATTGCTGTCATAAAACTCCATGACCAAAAGCACTCTGGGAAGGAAAGAGTTTATTTCTGCACTTCCAGGGAGCAGTCTATTGCAAAGGGAAGTCAGGGCAGGAACATGAAATCGGGAGCTGGAGAAGAAGTGCTCCCTCTGGCGAACTCGGCCTGATTTCTTCTGCATCCCAGACCTACCTGCCCAGAGGAGGGCCGCTCCCAGGGACCTCAGCCCACCCACGCTGATCATTAGCCAAGAAAGTACATGGCCAACTCGCCTACAGGCAACTCCTGTGAAAGCGTTTTCTCAGTCAAGAGTCCTTCTTCCCAGACGACTGCAGCTTGTCAGCTGCCATGAAACTAAGCAGCGCAGCTAGTTAGACAGCACCCGGCCTGCACCTCTGCCCTTCCGCGTTATTTGGAGTGTAAGAAGAATGTCTTCTACGTGAGTCAAGACTCTGTAGACCTCTGCACTGCAGTTCAAAGACAAAACCTCAAGCAGCCATACTGTGCTCCTACTGTTTCTTAATTCCTACTGTGCCTAAAACATCTCCTGAACAGGAAGTGCTGAGCAGGAAATGTGCCTTCCAGGCGCTAGAACACGCATACTGCCCACAATACCATGCCAAACCTGTCGCTCCTTCGGAGGTGTGTTCCCATCTTTCCACCGCCTGGTCTGCACTGAGCTCTGAGAGGAGTCAGGCAGGCGCTCCAGTGGCGCCGCTTACTCGGGACTGCCTCTGAGGACTAAGAGGAGGTTTTCATTTTCCCGAAAACTACCAAGAACCCAATCTGAATCTCCGTGGGCCCAGAACCCGGGACTCTCTGTAAAGTCAGGAGTGGTGGAAAGCATGTCTGCAGAAGGGAGCATCCTACACAGTAAGGCCTCTCACACCAGGCCACACATATCTGAGCAGCTCCATAAGGAGGAAGGACATTCGCTTTTGCAGCACCCATCGGTGGCGTTGTCACTTCCTTTTCTCTATTTCTCTTCAGATCCCTGCTGAGCTACAGTGCTCTGTGCCAGACTGAGGTCCAGCTGCGCTCATGACTTGAGCCTGTTGGGGAGGGGACTGCTTGCCTCTAGCCTCATGCTGCTGTGGGCACTGCTCCTCGTCTTTGGTAGGTAGGGCGCTGAGGAGGGCCTGGGGTGGTGCAGGGAAGAGCTATCTCTGTAAGGGTACCCACAGGCACTCTTCTTGACCATTGTCTCTCTGTGGGTGTGCAAATCTGGGTTTCTGTTTCTGATCCAGTACTAGCAGATACAGCACAAGTGGCAACTGGGCAAAGCAAGGTTCCTAGAAAAAGGAATGTGTGCACGTGTGTGTGTGTGTGTGTGTGTGTGTGTGTGTGTGTGTGTGAGTGAGTGAGAGAGAGAGAGTGTGTGTTCTTACTGTTTTTGTTTGATCTCTAGAAAAACAGTAAATTTTCATCAAAAGGGCTTCAAGGGTGGTTTCTGTTAGAGTGAATGCATGTACATCTCACATAAATCTTACAAGGCCCAGACTACTTCAAGCTTCACCACTTTTGGCTGAACTCCTAGCTCCGTAAACTTAGGCATTACATAGACGTCAAGCCTGGCTAGCCATCACTGGTATCATAGGCTGTGCGTGTAAATACGGCTCTCTCACATAGCCCAGGCTCAGTAGAATGCAGAAGGAAGGAGCACCAACGGCAACGAACTCTGCGCAGACCCATCCCGGGTGTGTGTGTGTGTGTGTCCCTTCTTGTCACCTAGGTCGCCCCGTGTAGGTAATTTCTCTTAAGCAAAATAGTCTGGACAATTTAAAGGTGGAGCCCCCAAATCGGCTATGCAATACTAAGTGGTCAGCCCAGAAATCACATAAATACAAGTAACGTTATATGAACTGAGCAGGTTGTATTAGTTCTAGGTGTATACATACATACCTGTATATATACGTGTGTGTGTGTGTGTGTGTGTGTGTGTGTGTGTGTGTGTGTGTAGGTGTATACATACATACCTGTATATATACATGTGTGTGTGTGTAGGTGTATATATACATACCTGTATATCTGCATATATGTGTGTGCATATATACGTGTATATATATATATATATATACACACACACAATTTAAAGCCATAAATTTGAGAAAGAATTTGGGGAGGGGGAAAGGGAAGGGAGAAAATGATGTAATTTTAATTTTGATTTACAAAAGGTAAAGAAACCTATTTAAATTAAAAAGGTAAAAGAAGAGACAATAAGCTCTTGAAAATTTGCTTGCAATAGACAAACTTCTGGGAATGGAAAAGGACTACTTGGAATTATAAAAATGAACCCTGGGTTCCACAAGAGTGTCATTTGTGAGTGAGAGAAGGAGGGCTGAAAGAAAGATGGAGAGAAAAGAGAGAAGAAATGAAGGAGGAAAGAAGAAAGGGGAAGGGGAGGAGGAACGAAGAGAAGAAGAGAGGGAGCCCCTTGGGCGTCCTCAGGTGCATAGCCTTCTAGAGAGCATGACCTTGGTGTAATCTCTCTGACTCTGTTCCCTTGCAGCTCCTCTTGGAGTCCAAGCCGGTAAGCAAGTCTTTTCGTTTCTTTAGATCCCCGGGACCTCTCCAGGCAATCAGTGAATTACTTCCCCTTCGCTGCTGACCCCTCAGACAGGAAAGGGAATAGGTGCAAAGGGAAATCCACCTGTGTAGTCACTGGGGAAACATTTTCACGTGCACCAGAGCAGTGATTGAAAATATATTTGTAGAAGAGAGGCAGCGAGAGCCAGGAGGTGCTCTGCAGAAGACAAGAACACCCTGGGGTCTCCATCAGGATCGAAACAACCCAATGTCTAATGTGCTTTGTCTTTCATTGGAATTTTAATATAATGAAATTAAGAAAACACTTAAGTTTCATGGTAGCCTGGGAAATTACACTTCCTTCCTTGGTTAAGCCTTTGAGAACACACTCATTCTACAATACTAAGAGGAAGTAATGCCTGTTACCTATGTTTGTAATTTTAAACAGGAGTGTTTTGCAATTACTAAGTGGGGAGGTCTCTAAAGAAAGCTCACAGGATCCAGTAAACTTTCAGAAATTATGATAAAATGTGTACAAATGCATAATTGTAGCCACTTTGAGAAATTACACCTCTAACCAAAATCTCAGAAATTGAGTCCATTAACCCAAGTGTCTTGGAGTTAAATATTTATTTCAGTCTCAGGGGAAACTGTTAATTTTTTTTTTTTCTCTACTTGCCCTTTGATCATTCTCATTTTGGCCTCATAAATCTTACTTCTCAACTATTTCTTTAATCAGGCTGACTTTGTTTCTAAAATGTCCATGGGAAAACATTATCCTGCCTCACCATGTAGGAAAAAGACTTAAACACTTTTTTCTTTATCAGCCTTTGTGTCCTGCCATCTACTTCCATTATCTTTCAAAGCCAGAAAAAGCTACACAGAAGGCACCTTTGAGGTTGGCCAGTCGCTTTGCATTATTGAAACCATCTGAGTGAGCATCTCAAACATAGTATAGTTATAAAGATTACTATATATAGTATACTATACATTGTGAACAAAGAAAAATACACATGTAAGCAGAACATTTTGAAGGGCAAGAAGGTGAACGGAGGATTTAGTTCAGATCTAGCATTCTGGACTGGGTAGAAAATGCAAGGTCCTGAGTTTGATCTGCAGCATCTTCCAGAAAATGGAGGAAGAAGGGAAGGAGGAAGGAAGAGTGGGTGGATATTAGTTAAAGATTCTCCTCTTTACCATCTATGCTTTTTAGCAAGAGCTTGGTGCTTTTCGTCCACACCCTTCCAGGTGTCGCTCTAACTTTCTCCTCCTGAGACAGGCCCCTGGGAGTTCGGACAGGCTGGGCAGGTGCCTCAACATCACTTTTGCATTTTATCTTCCCCTGCGTTCTGCTCCCTCACATTCGACAGCATCTTGTTTTACACTGGAGGGGAGCAGTGCTCTGTGGCGAAGGCCCGGTGTGCAGAGCAGGGCCTGGCCTTTCCATCAGAGCAGCAGACGTTCGCCACGCTGCCTCCCATGCACGGCGACTCCAAACTGGCATTTGAAGTTGAATTTCTAGCTCTTTTGCAGACTGTATCTTTCCATAGGAAGCTGCAGGCTGCCAGAGCAGCATGCGAACAAGTCTATAAGCTCCTTTCTGTTCGTTTCCTCCTGCTGTCGCAGATCTGAGCTGTTCGTTAGCTCCTGGTGATCACTGTCCTATAGGAGAAGCAATGGCTTCAACAAGTAGACGCTCCACCTCTTTGTGGGGACCCTACAGGGGCAAGCATGGCAAGGGTTTGCAGACGCCTCTGAAAGAGTTTTTAGTAGACTCCAGAGCCTGCAAATGTAGATTCCGGAGCTTGGTTTCATCGAGGGAGAATGACGTGCAAGGGAAGGACTTTGAGTGTATCGTGTTTCTAAGGCTTGAGGCAGCGCAGGGAGTCAGTCCTGGCTGCCACAGTGGATCTGAGGCCACATCAATAGGCATAAAGAGAGACAGGTGGAATCTCCCAGTGGAGGGAAGAGGCGTGCTGAGGCTCAGCCAGGGTCTTGCAAGTGCTAGGTAAGTACTGAGTCACTAAGTCACCTGCGCCTGTCCCTGTTTACTGTTTACCGAGAGCGACAGTCTTCCCAAGTCACCCAAGCTGGCCCTAACCCTAATCTGTAGCTCTGTGACCTCCGTGCCTCAGCTTCGTGAATGGCTGTAATTCCAGACCTTGCCATCCCACTCAGCAGGTGGACTCATTTTAAATCCACAGTTAGTCCAGCTGTTGGAAGCTGGAAAAAATAGCATAAAATCTGTTAACAGACATACAAAAAGCATGTTTGGGGGAAAAAAGTCATTCAGTGAGGTAGAACTCACTCTCCTGAGCCAGAAAGTTAGCAGAGCTAGCGGGTCCCAGGTAGCTGCAGGTTGTCAGCTTCTACACACACAGAAAGCCCCCTGCCCAGCATGGGGGGGGGGCCGTGTTGTCACCCCGCTCCCCAGCATGGAGGGGGGTCCGTGATGTCTCCCTCTGCCTCTTGCTTCCTTTGCAGACTGGCTGAGCATCAGCATGCCACACCGTGCTTATGAGGGCGACCAGGTGACTGTAAGCTGCACAGGAGAAAAGAATGGTAACATCAAGAGACTAAAGTACTTCAAGGATGGATCTCACATAGCTACATACAGCAGCGCTTCCAGCTACATCATTTCCAATGCAAGACTCAGCGACAGCGGCTCCTACTTCTGTAGGGCAGATAGGAAACTGTTCCTATTTATAGATGTGTCAGAAAAAACCAGTTCTACCTGGCTCACTGTCCAAGGTAGGAGGTCATTCTTCAGGTGGCTGTGTCTAGGAAGGAGGGTGCCTGAGTAGGACAGCCATCGTCCAGGGCCTATGACACTAACCAGGGATGGGTGAACGGTGGTGGGCTGTCTGTCCTGGAGTATGGGTGTATGTGTCTTGCTCTTTAGGACCTTATAGTCCACTACTGGCAAGTGATCTCCTTGGATCCAATCTTCCCTCCAGAGCTGTTTCCAGCACCTGCGCTGACAGCTAGCCCCCTGCAGCCGGTAGAGGGCAGTTCAGTGACCCTGTCCTGCGACACCTCGCTCCCTTCAGAAAGGGCAACAACCCAGTTACACTATTCCTTCTTCAAAGATGGCCAGACTTTGCAGTCTGGCTGGAGCTCATCAAAGTTCACAATCTCAGCGATACGGAAAGAAGACTCTGGAAATTACTGGTGTGCAGCCATGACAGCATCTCGCAGTGTCTCGAAGCAAAGTCGCCGGACCTATGTGGCTGTGGAGAGTGGGTATCGCTGGGCTGGGCTGATGGGCTGAGGGAGGTAGGGAGAGCAGGGTCACCAGCCAGACCCGAGGCTTCTCCTCATCCCTGAGGGTGAAAGGCACCATGGCTCGCTGGGATTCTTGAACACTAATTTCTGTAGGGAAATTTTCCAGTGACTTTGCCCTCCCTTTCAGAAAGGCGACAACAGTTAACTACTCAGCAAACTAAAAGGTCAATGAAGTAATTCTGTCTCTGAAGACCCCCCCCATTGGGAGGTGGTAAACGGAGGCAAAGATAATATTTTATATGACAGCAACAATTTAAGTTGTCTTTCTTTTTTAAGGTTTACTTATTTATTATGTATACAGTGTTCTATTTGCATGTATTCCAGAAGAGGGCGCCAGATCTCATTATAGATGGTTGCGAGCCACCATGTGGTTGCTGGGAATTGGACTCTGGACCATTTGGAAGAGCAGCCAGTGCTCTTAACCTCTGAGCCATCTCTCCAGCCCCCAACTTTTACCTTAGACACTGAATTATTATATTCCATATGTGAGCTGAAGCTGTTGGGATGTTCTGTACCCTCTCTTTTTCAAATATCTGCAGAAGTGAAGACAGGAAGATGTGCCACAAGATGCTGCTCAGAGCATTTTGTCCTCACAGTGACCTGTGAAATGGCTTTACGAGTGTGCCCATAAAGTGGGTCTATCACTCTCCCCAGAGCAAAGAACTCTTCAAAGACTGGCCTAGGGAGCCGCAGCAGCGCAGAGACCTGGAATTTAGGTGCGGCTCCGGCCTAGTGTGTGTGCTCTCGAGCTCTTGAGGAGAGCAGTAACAGTGCTGAACAGTCCTGGTGCGGGACCCTGCTCCAGCGCAGCGCAGCTAGTCTTCAGGGGAGCGCTGCCATGAGAAGAACTAGGGCTCGAGGTACTGACTCACTCACCCTGCGCTACTAAAGGGCAGAAGGTGGCTGTCCCTCAGGTCGGGAAAACTCCCTTGCTAATGAGATTCCAGCCTCTCCCACTGCAGACGCTGCGGGATGTGGTCACGAGAGCGAGCGAGCGGGTCGGGAAGAGCGCAGCGAGTGGGGGATGAGATCGTTCCTGAGCGGGATTGCAGAGTGGCCCGCGCGCTGCCCCTGCGTCTGCTGCGGTCCGCAAACCCGCGCAGGCGAGCAGGGTGGACGCTCAGGCCCCGACCTTCACCTGCCTAGTTCCCAGCAGGCGGCACCGGACCCGGCTGTCCCCGCCTGGCCTTTAATTTGCAATCGTCTCTGTTCACCCAGGGGTCCCTGTCTCTCAAGTCTCCATGGAGACCCAGCCGTCACGGGGCTGGGGGGCCGCAGGGGGCGTGCTGGCCCTGGAAGGAGAGAGGCTGGCCCTCGTCTGCTCTGTGGCTAAAGGCACGGGGCTCATCACGTTCTCCTGGCACCGGGAGGACGCAGAGGGAAGTGTGGGCAGCAAGAGTCAGCGTGCGCAGAGAGCCGAGCTGGAGCTCCCCGCGGTCAGGGACAGCCACGCCGGGGGTTACTACTGCACCGCGGACAACGGCTTCGGCGCGGCCCGGAGCCCGGCCGTGAGCGTCGCGGTGGAAGGTGAGTGCTCCGCCCAGCACCTCCCGCGGGGGGAACCGGGAGGAGGCGACCAGCCCCGCCGGCCGGAGGGGGCTGAGCTCTCCGGAGCGCCTCAGTGCGCTCCGCGGGGCCTTCGCAGAGGCTGCAGCGGCCAAACAGGGCGCCGCGCCTCTCATGCTCTGCCGTCCCCGGCAGTTCCAGCGCTGCGCCCCCTCCTCTCCATCGGTGTTCCCGGGGCGCTGCCCTTCGTTGGCGACGTCGTGGAGCTTCACTGTGAAGACGAGAGAGCGTCGCCTCCCGTTCTGTACCGGTTTTATCATGAAAATGTCACTCTGGGGAGCGTGCGGGCACCTCGTGGAGGAAAAGCATCCCTAAAGCTCGCTCTGACCCTGGGGCATTCTGGGAACTACTCCTGCGAGGCTGGCAACGGCTGGGCGACCGCGCGCAGCGAGGTGGTGGCGCTCATGGTCACAGGTAGGTCGGTCGACGTCCCGTTCCAGGGCGCAGCTCGCCCTAGGCCGAGCCTGCCTGGCCCTCTTCCTTTCCGTCCTCCCCACCCTTCGGGAAATCAGAGCTCCGCGCGAGGGCCGCACTCAGCCAGCCTTGCTTTTCTGTCTTCAGAACAGCATCACCATCACCGGCCACTGCTTGTCCTCGCTGGCTGCTTTTCATTTCATCCCTGTTTAAACTCAGGGACCCGGCCACTGGGAGGGCCGGGCTAGGCGAGGCAGGGGGAGAGAAGGCAGCCGGAGCTTCCTGGCGCTCACTCGGGTGACCAGGGAGCCCCCAGTAGTCCTTGTGGTGAAGAACAAAAGTAAAGCAAACAGGCAAGCAAACAAAAAACCCACAAACGAAACAGATTCTGGGATATAAGTTTTTACTAAGATGGTATCACTTAATTTCCATAGCAATATAATTATTACACAAACAAAGAAATAAAATTTAAGTTAAGCAGCTTGTCCAAGGCTGCCTAATAGGAGTGTCGTAAGCAGGTTCAAGGATGGGACTGAAAATTCGGACAGCCATCCAAGAAGCTTCCGACTTCGCCGCTGTGTGAAGCGGTCTGGATGGTTGAGTGAGTCTTGTTTTTTTTTTTTAAATCCATTATTGGGAAGAATTTTATCCATGAGCTTTCTAATATGGGGCAGTTCCTGAGTTTCCCTCATAAGCTCTTCTTAGTCATCATAGGCGGTAGCTTTATTCGACTTGCTAATGCTTTGTTTCAGATGTTTACAGCTGTTTATATATTTAGTGCTCAGCATCAAGCTCGGGACCGCAAGGAGGCTAACTTAAACTTTCCACCTGCTGCCCTGCATCTGTGAATACACGAGTTTTTGTTTTTCTTTGTCAGGGACACGTTAGCTTCATGAGAATGGTTTCGGGGAACTTCCACAAATTCTGTGTTCAGAAATGAAAACATTTGGATTACTCGGAGTCTTTGCAACGAGCAGGAGATTCTTTGAGAGCAGTAGACTGTTGCCTCTGACAAATCTTTTTTGCTAAGCAGCCTTTTCGATTATTTTTATTATTTTAAAACAACGTTTTATTTCAGGGCCACCGTGGCAGGGCTGGGAGGTGACTGAGGGTAAGATTGCTCTTCACATGTGCGAGCACGCACGCTGGCATCCCCAGTGTTCACCTGCACATGGCTGCTCCAGGGAGTGGGGGCAGGACAGCTGCAGGGTTGCTGGACACAAGCTGAGGAGTGCTGAGGTCCAGGCCCTGTGGGAGACCCTGTCTCCAGAGTAAGGCAGGAGCTTTAGAGGAAGCTACTACCATCCTCCTCTGGCTTCCTCAAAATGCGTGCATTACATGCACACGCACAGACACACAAACACACACACACACACACACGCCATACACACAGACATGCCGCACTCAGCTCCCCAAGGATAAACAAAACATGGAAATCGATGTTTTCAAAGGGATCACAGACTCTTGAGTGCTATATCGGTGCTTAGATCCCGGTGTGTGGGCAGGCCCTCTCATTTCCAATGTAACTGGATGGCCCTCTCTCATCAGATTTGCCAAAGCCCTTTCTGTAGCATTTTCTTTTCAAAAATTCAGGTTTTATTTTATGTTTTTCACTGTTCAAGTAAAAATCATCTTATTATTCTGAAGTTTTTCTAATTCATTTACCTATCCCCCACTTTTTATCTTCCTCACACTTTAATTTTATTTATTTATTTATTTATTTGAGACAGGGTTTCTCTGTGTAGCCCTGGCTGTCCTGGAACTCACAGAGACCTGTCTGCCTCTGCCAACCTTCCCCTATGTGTAGTCGGGGACCTCAGCCCGCGAACTCAGCACCTACAGACTACTCGGTGGTTGCAGCTGCTGCCAGTGGAGCATCAGTGTCAGGGAGGACGAGGGCGGCACCCTCTGTGGAGGCCTGCAGGGAGCCGCCTGTGTGGAGGCCTGCAGGGAGCCGCCTGTGTGGAGGCCCCTGTGTGGAGGCCTGCAGGGAGCTGCCTGTGTGGAGGCCGCCTGTGTGGAGCCGCCTGTGTGGAGGCCCCTGTGTGGAGGCCGCCTGTGTGGAGGCCCCTGTGTGGAGGCCCCTGTGTGGAGGCCCCTGTGTGGAGGCC